CCCGCACAGGGTGGCCATATGCAACGGCTGCGTTCCCGTCCCCGCAGCCCTGGCTGCAGCTCCGAGGAACCCCTCGCAATTCCCAACGAATTCAGGCCTCTCTGAGTGGAGATGCTCAGCGTGTGAGGGAACGGGGCACCAGCTCTTGGGGGCTCAGCGTCGGAGAGAGCCTGAAAATCCTGGCGGCTTTTGAGATCACATCTCTAGCAGAAATAGATTTGTTACCTAATTTAGTGAACCTTTAATGTTGATAGGGAAGGAGGAAGGCATAAATATGCTCTTATATATGAGCACAATTATAACAGCAGAGCTGTGCTTCTTTAGCTTAGACCAGCTCCCATATGCAAATACCTTTCCTTGGGGCTGGGAAAGCAAGCAACTGGTTTGGTGTCAGAAAGAAGATTGTAGGAAAAAGACTTACTTCTAAACGAGACTGCTTTTAGATTTTGCATTTTTACATTTTACCGAGGGGAGAAGGCTTATGCTTTTTGTAGCTGGCAGCCTGGTGTCACTTGTAACGCAGTAGGCTGCTTGCAAATGATAAGGTGTGCTCATAAACGTAAAATTTTTCAAGGTAAGTCAAATGGATTAACATATAAACATTGAATTTCTCTGAAACCTTCTTGGAAATACCCTAAAGAAACAATCAAATCGGCACATCATTGAGTATCTGTATTTTTCCTCTCTTCTACAACAGTGCTCATCAGCTTCAAAGGTGATGCTTAAGAAGTCACTGTCAGTAGGCCTCAAAGATGAAATGAAATTGAAAAGTTGTGTATGTATTTTATCCATACCAAAGTATTCAGACTTTGAGGTGAGGTGGTCTGCGTGTGACATGGTCTCCTTGGTATACAGCACACTCTGCGCTCAGTTCATAGCACAAATTTCAATTCTGTGTATTAATAGGGGCTGTATGTGGTTATGCATAATAGAATAAGCTGCTTAAGTTGGAAGATAATTAGTTTTTGTCTGTTTGTTCTGTTTTTGTTTAGGCGTCTCAACAGGAATAAACTGCAAGTTCTTCCAGAGCTGCTTTTCCAGAACACGCAGAAGTTAACAAGATTGTAAGTAAAATCTGACTTAAATTTGTATTATATGTATGTTCCTTACGTGTCGTACAGATTTTGCACGTTTGTTTTGACTGTGATGAGATGTTTAATTTTGGATATATCTGAACTGCTAGATGCTAAGCATTCTTAGTGATGATGTGTTGTCTTTGCATTTACAGTGGTAATTCGATAGCAAATAAATATCAGAGAATAAAGAATTTTTTCTTTCCCATGTGTTGTTGATTCCAAGGTGAAATATTTTCAGCTCTCTGCAAAGAGTTATAGAAAATGAAAAAGTGGCAAGTTCTTATATCAGATGTACAAAGTCCAGATGTCCAGAAAGAGAGACTGTCTGCACGTGGTTATAATATTAGCATGTTGATGTAATAGTTTCTTACAGCAATTATTTGTTTCTCTTTTTGTTTTTGTGCTTTTTTTAGTTCTTAAAACATGGTCTTTATGAACTAAGCCAAGTCACTATAAGGCAGACCAGTCAAGTTATGGTTGATGCCTTTTCAGCCAGGAAGAGGAAAAAATATGGGGAAAAACAGTTTTTAGAAAGTTAGAAGCTGTTCAGCTGGCACTAGGACCAGTACAGGCAATGAGATAAGACTGGCATTAGCTCAGGCTCCCATCCCAAGGGGAGGTCTTGGGGCTGGTTGATCATCTTATTTTGTGCAATGACCCTGTGATCTGGCAATAACAATAAATGTGGGTGAGCAGCTGGCTACGCGGGTATGGCAGAGCAAAATCATCTGCTTTTTGAAAAGTAGAAATTAAAAAACTGTTTGAAATAGCTCTCTGGGACCTGCTAAAGTTTATGATCTGGTCTGTCTTGGAGGTGTATATATAGTAAAACTTTATTTTTAATGCTTGAGTTTAATGCTTGAGATGAGTTGATAAGACTTGTGATTTGTCTAGTAAAATCATAGAGTTACTACAGGTTGGCTGAGAAGTTGCCCTGCTTGTATGGGGTTCCTAGAGCTCTTTTAATACCTCTCTGTGCAATCAAGGAAATGTTTTTAGCAGCACAGTGAATATTTCTTTCTGCGGAAACACCAAATGCATTGTGATGCTGAAGATTTAATTTTGGAATCAAGTGACTCTCTAAAAAGCAGGCTCTTTGTCAAGGTTTTAAAGCAAACAGAGAGGGGTTTTGTGGTGAGTGGTGCTGATAAAGCTTTTGGAGGATTTGCTTAATGAAATCCGCCCTTTTGTTAGAACTTCCTCTCGAAAAACTGTGCAAACAAGCGTTTTGGAGATCCAGATTGGAAAATATCATTGTCTTAGTCTCAAGATCTGCTTGAAAAGCTTTGCTGGATTTGTATTTGATTAATTTGACTTTGTCATGGCTTTTCAGTGCACCGGAAAATATTTTTTAAGGGGAATTAGTGGTTCAGGTGTATTTCTTGAGGTTTGTTGCGTGTGTTTCAGCGATTTTCCATCTTGAAATTCCACTCGAATATAAAATATGAGCTGGTGCTTACTTGCCGTTAGTGTTGTCTAGTCTTCAGAAGATGACATGTGTATTTATTTCACAAAAAGCTGGGCTCAGTTTTTTTAAGAGGCTTACATGTATCTGCAATATGACTTTTGATTTAACATGCTCTGACCTCCTCTGCCAGTGGTAGCATTGTATGTGATTTAGGCGAGGTTGAAAGGAAATATCTAGTTATTTGTAGTTTCCAAGAAAGGCGTTTTGTGTTGATAACTTCATATCTCTTGTGGAACTGCGTGTGAGGAAGCCCAGAGTGAAGTAGTTGAGGCTCTTGAGTACCAGAGGTTTTTGCTACAATATAGTCCTCAAAGACAAGGACAATACTTTCGCTTTTAGAATATAAAGATTACAGTAAAATCATATAGAACAGAATAATTAATACAAATGTTGCTCTCTCTAGTGCCTCCCAACCGATACTGTCAAAACATCTGTCTTTATTCATTGATGTTTTTTGAGAGCTGTGTTTACCCTTACATAGTGCTTGAGATCAATCACTGAAGCACTGTTTGTCAGAAGAAATTTCCCTTTTTTTTGTGAAACATAAAAGTGCTATATAACAACATGTGTGTTAAGTAAAATATGTCTTGACTAAACAAACCCTTTGGCTGTACTGTACATTTTTCAGGGAAGGAATAAGAATGAGAATTTTTCTACCTACTAGAATATGTAAAAAGTAAATATCCTTGATGGAATATTCGTTTTTAAAGGTTGCTATCTGTTTTTGTGTTACTCCTTTGCTCTTACTGGTAGCTTTCAGAGATGCTTTTTCTAGTTAGTCATGTAAGTACAAATCTATTTGTGCACATTATTAAGAATTTATGCAGATTTAAATACAGCATTTGTCATACAAATACAACAAATGCTTCTCAAACAAATCCAACAGTGCAAGTCTACCTTTTGTCGCAGGTGTTTTTTAGGTCAAGGCACTGGTATATCAGTGGGGGAGGTCTGGTGTAATCTGAGTGAAGCCAAACTGAGATAAAAGACATAAGTAATACTGATCTGTACTTTTACTGTCCATAGTATGTGCATATCATATTAGTTTCCATATTTTCCACCTCTAGTGTCCAGGCTACTAAGTAATGAATTGGTTAGTTAATGGTTGTAATCCTGACCACCTACTAAGCTCAAAAATGAGCATTTTAATAGTCAGGCTTGCTATAGTTTACCTGGTGTATTCGAAGAACTGGATATATTGCTATGCAATAAGCCCAACAGGAAAAAACATTGGCATATTGGGGAAAAATGGAGACCTGAGTCTTGCACATGAAGAGCATGTGAGGTCCAGACTCAATATTTTAAACTATAAAACTGAACACAAAGGTTGTTGTCATGATCAACACTGTGGGAGTTGAACATATATTTATGAACATTAGCAGCACTTGGTTGAGGTGCTGTGATTCACTTGCTTAAACACATGAATTTTGCCATCTAGAGTATTTCAGGGAAGACTTAGTGTTTTAGGAGTAATTAAAGGTCTCAAGACAAATGTGAAGACCTTTTTCCTTGGTCTGTGAGCTGAAAGGTGCCGGTTATTGCAGGAACCAGCCTGGTTGGATGAGTATCTGCAGTCTCTGGAAATGGACAAGTCGAATATTAGTTTGCTTCTAATCGATGATGTGTCAGAAAAACTAGAAGGAACGTTTGGCAGAGCAGTGATCTTTTCTTCCATATCTCTGCTGCTTGCACAGTTTGGCCCTGCTGTACAACAGTCCCGGATATTTTTCTTTTTTGTCACCATGGCTGATCGTGTTCACCCAGGAACTCTGCATTTGACACTCATGGGCCATCTTTCTCATAGCTAATCATATTCGAGTGCAGAAGTAGTTAAAATCTGAGAAGCTTCCTGAAGTTGACGTTAGGTACCTCTGCTTTTCTCCACATCCCTTCTCCTCAGACTGCAGAGCTGCAGAATATCCTCATCTTGCACAGCGCTGCTGGGGCTTGTGCGTCACATCTGGTTGATATTAGAGGCAGGAGTGTAGAGGGGAATCGGCCTTGGGTGGAATGTGAAACGTCCCACAAAATGAGGTTCTCATAAAATTTTGAGCCTTTTCTTTGAGAAAGAATGGCTTTGGGATTCGTGGATTTTGTTTGCTTTAATGAAGGTAAAAGTTTTAAGGTTATGTTGGCTGGAGAGTGAGCCCTTGACTGGGTTCTCTAGTGGGAATGCTTGCTATTGCTCCGTTTTCTTGATTTCCTACATTATGTGTCTTAAATATGTGGGGGATTTTTTTGTGAGATAATTAAGTATTAAATAGTTAGAAGTGCAGGTACTTGTATTATTCAGAGAACTGAACCAAGGAAGAAACATTTAATTACTCTAGAAATGGAGAAAAAAAAAAAAAGGACAGTTTTTGGATAGCTTCAGATATTTTTCTCTCTATTTCTATTTAGTAGTAATACAGAAGATCAAATGCATGGGAAAAGTACAACAAATCCAAACACGTAAGTTGTCTAAAGCTATAAAAGCATGTTTTGATTCCAAGGTCACTGCTTTGTAATATTCAGGATCAATTCTGACACTTTGGTAGTTCGTAAAGATAGCTTGGTGTTACTGTGCGCTGGTGTCACGAGTTTCCTTGGCATTCACAGTGGTGTTTCGGGGTGAGCACCAGGCATCTATTTGGTCACTAAAGGCCAAATATGGCAGAAGTCCAGAAGATACTTAAATAACTTAAAATGACAAAACCCAACCAATAAGACTGTGTTTGTTCTGTAAGAATATATTTGCTTACTCATTATCGTTTCCATAACTAAAGCCAGCTGCCAGGATGAAGCAAAGTTCCTTCCTTTGGATGAAAAAAACCTTTAAGAGCACTTTACACTCAGGGTTTGCAGTGTGAATTACTGCCTATTGCTCTCCTGCGTGTAGCTATGGGGCATTGATTGGGCTCGGTTGCTTTTAATGCACAAAACAGTTTTGTAGTTTTAAGACTTCTAATTGTTGCTTGAACAAACAAACCAGAGTATTAAAAATATCTGACTGGACTGTAGAATGTGGAAGCTGAGCAGCCAGTGTAATATTCGAGTCTCAGACCTGGGCTGAGCAGAGCCTGGCATCTGCCACCCTGGGGCAGAACCAGCTTTGGCCTTCACCTGCGTAATGCTCTTGATCTCAGAGGTTTTTGTGCTTTGCAATTACTGGAGTCCAAGTGCTTTATAGCGTGGAGTTATAATTACTCCCAAAGCAGACTCAAGAAGCAAGATGAACAGGAAGCAAATATTAGAGGCCAGGTATTGATGATGATAAAAAGGATTTTGGCACCTAGGAGGATGTTTCCCATTGAAATGGCAACTGAAAGAATTGCTGCAACTGTGGTCCTTAGCTCTTCTTCCTGGGTTGATGTTTTGCAAGCTCTAAGTGTGAAATTCCTAACTTCTGGCCTAATTCTGAGGCTTTTATCCAGAGAATGCCATCAGAAGCTGATTTTAGGAAACAGGATCAGTTCATAAATGTTGTTGGTGTCCTCTTTAC